CCCCCAAAACTTCATCCAAAAACCATTTTAAACACCAAAACCAAAAAACCCAAAAAATTTTAAAACCCCCCAAAAAAATTTTATTAAAAAACCCCCAAACCAACAAATTAACTTAACAAAAACCCAACTTTTTCATACCCCCAAAAAACCCCTTTTTTAAACTTCCCCCAAAAACCAAAATTTACAAACCCCCACCATTAAAAATCCTCCACCCCCCACATTAAAAACAAAACCCCCAAAACCCAAACATTAAAAACCAAACAACACCCTAATTAAAAACATAAAAAAAATTTTAAAAAAAACCCCAAACACCACAATTAAAACCCCCAAAACCAAAAACATTTTAAAAAACCCCCTTTAACAAACATCCCCAAAACCCCACTTTTAAAAAAACCCACTAAAAAAAATTTAAAATTAAAACAACCAAATTTACATTTACCACAAACCCCAAAAATTACTAAAAAAACAAAAATTTTAAATTAAATCCAAAACCCAAACAATATTCAAAAACCAAAACACTTAACTCCTCCAAAAACCAAAAAATATTCCTCCCCCAAACTTTTCCCAAAAAACCATCCCACAAACAAATTAAAAACCCCCTTTCCAAAACCCATTATACATTCCCCAAAAAAAATTTTTTTCCCCCAAAACCCAAACCCCAAATTAAAACATTAAAAAAGGGGGAAAAGGTTAAAATTTTTATAAAGGGGGTATTTAAATTTAAAATAGGTGGAATGTTTTTTATTAGGGGGGGTTTTTGTAAAAATTTTGGGGGTAGACGCCTATTCAAAAGGGTTATGAATGATTTTCAGGGGTTTTGATTTTTAAAAAAAAAAGGGGTTACCCGTTTACATATGGGGGGAAGTCCCAATTTCTAAAACAAAGGAAAAGTTTTTAAAAGGGGGTTTAGGCAGTTAACCAATTTGGGGAAAACCCAATCAACAAAACTTAATTAAACACTACACTACCACTAACACACACATTATAACCTGCACTGACCACAACACCACTTATACATTAACTACCACACACACCAATTAAACTTCACTACCACAACACACACATTATTATCACTACACTACCACAACTCACACTTTTAAACACTGACCATCAACACCCACTGATTAACATAAATCACAACCACAAACTTGATTAACTACATTCCACAACAACACAATAGTGTAACATTACACTCACCACACACTTATTAAACTACACTACCACAACACACTTATAACTACCTACCACAACACCACACTTATTAACACTACATACCAAACACCACACTTATTACCTTACACTACCACAACACATCACACTTATTAACATTACACTACCACACACCATTATTAACATTACATACCACAACACCACACTTTTTAACATACACAACCACAACATCACAACTTATTAACAAAATACACTAACCACATATAAACACAAACTAATTATTACATTAACTAACCACAAACTCCACTTAATAACATACACTACCACAACCACACTTATTAACATTACACTACACAAAACTCACCTTAAACATACACTACCACAACACACTCAATATTACATTACACTACCACAACACTCACACTTATACCTAACACTACACACACCACACTTATTCATTACACTACCAACATCACACACTAATCAACCTTCAAACTACACACCAAAAACTCACACTATTAACATTACACTACCAAACAACACCCCTATTCATTAACTACCACAACACTCCACTATTAGACATTACACTACCACACACAGGCATTAACATTACACTACCACAACACTCACAATAATTACCCCCTCAACAAAAAATTTTCCCCCCACTACAAACCAAAAACAAAAATTTAACCTCCCCCCAAAACATATACCTAAAAACCAAAAATAATTCCACCCAACTTTAAAATCCTCCCACACAAAAAATTTACCAAAAACCCCTCCCCTTCAACTACCAAAACCAAACATTTTTGGGGTTATTTGGGGGGGGGCTCACCAAAAAAAACCCCTTTTTAAATCAGGTTTTTTCCCCCCCAGGGGGCCCGGGCAGAGGGCCCGGGGGGGGGGGTTGGGACCCCGGCTCTTCCTAAACCCCAAAAACCCCAATTCTCTAAAATTTAAAATCCCTTTTTTTTAAATTTCCTCAGATATGGAAAAACATGAGGAAATTAAATCTTCATCAGAGTACAAAACAAATTCTGGCCACAAATAGAGCGAAACCCCAAACGTCAAAGACCTGGGAGTGATCATGTCGGAGGATCTCACCTTCAAGGACCATAACACTGTATCAATCGCATCTGCTAGAAAAATGACAGGATGGATAATGAGAACCTTCAAAACTAGGGAGGCCAAGCCCATGATGACACTCTTCAGGTCACTTGTTCTATCTAGGATGGAATATTGCTGCACACTAACAGCACCTTTCAAGGCAGGTGAAATTGCCGACCTAGAAAATGTACAGAGAACTTTCACGGCGCGCATAACGGAGATAAAACACCTCAATTATTGGGAGCGCTTGAGGTTCCTAAACCTGTATTCCCTGGAACGCAGGAGGGAGAGATACATGATTATATACACCTGGAAAATCCTAGAGGGACTAGTACCGAACTTGCACACGAAAATCACCCACTACGAAAGCAAAAGACTTGGCAGACGATGCACCATCCCCCCAATGAAAAGCAGGGGTGTCACTAGCACGTTAAGAGACCATACAATAAGTGTCAGGGGCCCGAGACTGTTCAACTGCCTCCCAGCACACATAAGGGGGATTACCAACAGACCCCTGGCAGTCTTCAAGCTGGCACTGGACAAGCACCTAAAGTCAGTTCCGGATCAGCTGGGCTGTGGCTCGTATGTTGGTTTGCGTGCAGCCAGCAGCAACAGCCTGGTTGATCAGGCTCTGATCCACCAGGAGGCCTGGTCTCAGACCGGGCCGCGGGGGCGTTGACCCCCGGAACTCTCTCCAGGTAAACTCCAGGTAAACTACCCAATTCTCTGAAAATTTATCACTTCATGTCCTCTCCTGTTACTGTAATGATGTTCTCAATCTCTTTTACCTCCCCCTGTTTTCTTTCATTATAGGTTTGCCCTTCTGCCTTATGGAGCCCATGAATGATAAGCAACCTCTCCCTCTTTTCCTAATTCATTCCCCTCTTAACTCTGGGTCCGATTTAAGTACTTCCAGATGCCCCAGTGGCCTAATATCATTTCCTTAAGGAGCTTTATTCCTTCCCTTACAGTCCCCTCACTGTCCCCCTCCAGTCCTCTCACTGTGTGTATGTATTCACCTATTTATGGTTGCAGGGATCGAGTCACAGCTCCTGGCCCCGCCTCTTTGATGGTCGCTACTAGGTCCACTCTCTCCATACTCCATAAGCTTTATCGTATCTCTTCTTAAAGCTATGTATGGATCCTGCCTACATTACATCACTCTCAATAGTGTTCCACTTTCTGATGACTCTATGACTGAAGAAATATTTCTCAACATCCCTGTTACTCATCTGTGTTTTCGTCTTCCAGTTCTGACCCCTTGTTGCTGTGTCCCATCTCTGAAACATCCTGTCCCTATCTACCTTGTCAATTCCTCTCAGTATTTTTATATGTCGTTATCATGTCCCTCCCCATCCTACATGTCCTCCAGTGTCGTCAGGTTGATTTCCCTTAACCTTTCCTCGTACGACATACCCTTTAGCTCTGGGACTATTCTTGTTGCAAACCTTTGCACTTTCTCTAATTTCTTGACGTGCTTGATCATTTGTGAGTTCCATACTGATGCTGCACACTCCAGTATGGGCCTGACGTACATGGTGGCCAAAATCTTAAACAATTCCTTACTCGGGTGTCGAAACGCTATTAGATTTGCCAGGAGCTCGTATGCTGCGCCTCAGAAGTGTGAGTTACCACAACACACTTATTAACATTACCACAGCATAACACACTTATCAACATTACTACAGCACAGAACACTTGTAAACACTTCATTACCACAACACAACACATTTATCAACACTACACTACCACAACACAACACACTTATCAAAACTACCACAACACAACACACTTATCAACACTACCACAACACAACACACTTATCAACACTACCACAACACAACACACTTATCAACACTACCACAACACAACACTCATTAGCACTACACTACCACAACACTCACACTTATTACACTACACTACCACAACACTCACACTTATTAACATTACACTACCACAACACTCACACTTATTACACTACACTGCCACAACACACACTTATTAACACTACACTAAGACAACACACACACTTATTAACACTACACTACCACAACACTAACACTTATTAACACTACACTGCCACAACACACACACTTATTAACACTACACTACCACAACACTCACACTTATTAACACTACACTACCACAACACTCACACTTATTAACATTACACTACCACAACACTCACACTTATTACACTACACTGCCACAACACACACTTATTAACACTACACTAAGACAACACACACACTTATTAACACTACACTACCACAACACTCACACTTATTAACACTACACTGCCACAACACACACACTTATTAACACTACACCAAAACAACACACACACTTATTAACACTACCAGAACACAATACAACACATCACGTCACATTACACCGCCTCTACGTCGACACTTCAATTATCTGTAAGTTTCTCCCCTTCTAGGATGATGCGTTGATGCCAGTGATAGGCTCATGTTCCAAGTAATTGGAGCCACGACCTTCTTCCTTATATCAAACCTAATTGTCTCTCATTCCTTAGATACAGTAAGAGCTATCTGGTTAGTGCATCACATGACTATAACAATTAACAACAACAACAACAACAACAATAATAATAATAATAATAATAATAATAATAATAATAATAATAATAATAATAATAATAATAATAATAATAATAATAATAATGATAATAATAATAATAATGATAATAATAATAATTGCAGGGAGTTTCTTCCTGCCGAAGGACCAGCAGGTGACGTGTCCTCCAGGACCAGAAAACACAGACTACGAGGGTCTGGCCTACCTCGGGGAGTACCCACTGGCCTGGGCAGCCTGCCTGGGCAACGAGACGGTCTACAACAAGCTGCTGGACTTCGGCGCTGATCCCAACGCTCAGGACTCCTTCGGTAACATGATCCTCCACATGGTAGTGGTCTGTAACCAGCTGGTGAGTCGTTCCACACATGCAAGAACTGAGTCAACATCACACACCCACACACACACACACACACACACACACACACACCCACACACACACACACACACACACACCCACACACACACACACACACACACACACACACACACACACACACACACACACACAAATTAACACACAACAGGAACAAAAGCACACAATACCTGTCCTTGTTGCCGTGAAACAAGAGACACTGACGAGGCTAGATATTTTTCGATTTGAATTCTTCACAATATATTATTCGTTACTCTATTTTGACATCTCTTGCATATTTTTTTTTTATTCAAGATCTGCTAAATTACGAGCCAGATCGACTTACTCTGAACAGTAGAATAATAATTATCGAATTAAGAAAAAGTTGTTTCTAACTGATTTATGCATCTTAAGATTTTCTGTGAAGTCACCTTTCAAAGAGAAAAAAATAAATAAACAAAAAAAGTGTATACCACTCGAGACATACGTCTTTGTGGTTCTCAAAAGCAGCGTCTCAGTCAATTAATTTATTGTTGCAAAAAATCCCCTTAAGGGAGGTGCCTTGACGCTGGGGAGGTGCTCTTGATCTAAGGAATTGGATCTGTTCTCCAGTTCCCTGAAATCAGCCTTGAATACCTTCCACTCCCCCTCCACAGTCTCTATATAATCCCGCGGGTTTAGCGCTCCCCCATGATTATAATTATATAATATTGCAAAAAATAATGGAAAAATCACTCCAGAACCAAACTGAAAATGTTATAAGAACAATATAATATAAATGTAATGAAGTAACTTATTTTTGATCAAGATACAATAAAGTACAATCATAAATACATTTAGCGATTGTAAGTGTTGATATAACCACTGGTCGGTAAAACGTCTTCACATTGTGCATGAAGCAGTTCCTGTCTGTTGTGTACAGAGAACCATCACAGCTGGTATAAACTCAGTCAGGCACTTAATTTACTTGCAGCGCCTTAATTAAGTCCCTGGAGTTGTACTCCTTAGAACGTAGGCGAGAACGATATGTCATAAGCTACACCTGGAAATACTAGAGGGATTAGTCCCAAATCTGGACACCGAAATCACTTGATATGAGAACAACAAAATGGTACAAGATACCACCAGTGAACAGCAGGGAAGCGATGAGTCTGCTGAGAGAGAACTTTAATGTTAATGTTAAAGGAGTGTTCTTGATCAGACCTATGCTCCTCTTCCTTGGATCGAACCTAAATGCCTTCAATTCCCTTAGACGCTGAATAACCCCTATGGATTTAGCATTCCCCCGGGAATGTTATAATAACAACGCAGAGTCAGGAACATTTCTTTTTCTGAAGACTTGCAATTGTTAACGTAATTGTTAATGTAACTGGCAGATGGCAACCAGCAGCCAGTAATCCAAAGTTGCCATTCGTTTTCTTGCTGGTTCATTGTATTTTCAACAGGTCTTCTTGGATACAAGTGCTATTCATAGCTATATTCTGGAAGTCAAAAAACACCCGTATGTCTTTGTTTTAATTGTTCTCTTGTGTTAAGTTCATTTTATTTGATCCATCAGATTCATACTTCTGAATTTATTTTATATTTCAACCATTTTAGAGCAGTGAATGGCAGTCATTACAGTGTTCTTGCCTTTCTGCGTTTACTAATGTTTTCTCTTCAGATGACAGACAATGTGAAATCATCATCACAGAAACCACTTTGGTATCACCAACACAGAAACCACTTTGGTATCATCATCACAGAAACCACTTTGGTATCATCATCACAGAAACCACTTCGGTATTATCAACACAGAAACCACTTTGGTATCATCACAGAAACCACTTTGGTATCATCAACACATATCAACATAAATTTTAAATCCTTAGCTACACTGTTCATCATCAGTACGATACTTTCTCAAACTTGAACCTCTTCGAAGACTAACTCAGATCACCATGATAGGAGTGGCAGGTCCCTACCACAGCCCTAACATAAGAGGCTTCTGATAAGTCCTTGTTGAGAGCTCCATATTTGACGTCTTGGCAGAACAATGTATCCGCTTCTAGTGCCTCTCAGCTGCCTCTCACCCAGCCTCCTGTCCTGTGTTGCTGTATACTCTCATACATCTTTTCCATGTATACTCTTGAAAAAAAAAAGTTAAAAAAAAAAAATCTGCAGTTACTGGACAACCTCGTATACATATTTATCTGCTCATATATGTATACCTGTATGTTCTCATATTTATGCAGTTGCCTTGGGACATGTTATGTGTCACATGCCAATTGCTTTTTAATTTACAGATATGTATTCTGTCCTAGACATCAGAGTGGAAGCGCCACTACTATTCTTTTATTCTCTTCTTACTACATCCCTTACCTTTTTTTATTTTTTCAAAATTTCTGCCCTTCTCTAACTTCCTCCCCTTACATAAACTATGGGATTAATCCTTATACCTGTGATCTGCTTTCCGTCGTCTTCACATAACCGGCGTTATTTGACGTCACGTGATGAATATCACCTCTCTTCTGCTGTTATTGTTTAATAATGATTCACTAGAATATTACGCACGAATACCAGATTTTTCAGCATATAAGGCGCACGATCATATGAAGAGGATGTTTCCAGTCAATTGTGACGTAACATTAGTAAACAACTGCTAAAGCTTAACACTAAGCCTACCCTTGACCCTTGAGCATATAAGGCGCAGAGTGATTTTAAGACTTATTGGGGAGAAAAGCCAGCCTATATATGCCTGAAAATATGGTAAATACCTTTCTCGAGTAAAGATTGCTATACGGATGGACTGTTTAAAAAAAGTCAACACATACCTCGCGGTAGAGATCTTTCAGTGACTTTATGAACATGTGCACGACTTTGCTTTATCCGTTTTCAGTATTAACTATTTATTCCAGGTGAACAAATCACAGTGATGAAGTATCCTGTCTTAGAATCGTATTTTCACAACAGTTTAAAACCCCCCTTATTGGTTGTGAGTTCATGTATAGCTTCATTAAATTATGACTTCTGAACCTGATCATGTGTTCGTCAGCAGGCAGTGGCTAGCTACCCTCACTTTCTGCCTGACGGCATTTACTGAAATAAATTACGAGTGGTCTCCTGTTTAGAGCTCGATCATACATGGCAACATGAACGGCACGAACCACTCAGCTGGGGATCTGGTATTCTGTCTGTAACATTTTGTTAGAATTTATTTCACATTTCCTCTATATTACAAGTCATATACTTACCTTAGAAGAAAATAATTTGTCTTTAAAAAATAATATGTTACCTCTGCTAATAGTACTTGTTATTTAATCTGCTCGAGTGTTTACCTGGAGAGAGTTCCGGGGGTCAACGCCCCCGCGGCCCGGTCTGTGACCAGGCCTCCCTACACTTTCTACACATTTCATTCTCTGAGGTTTTTCTACGTGTTCAGGAGATGCGCAAGTTCTGTTCCTCCTCAGGGGATGTTCTCGTACGCTCTGCGTCACCCCCGTCTGCCTGCCCAGGACGGCATCATGAACATGGCGGGGTTGACGCCGCTCACCCTGGCCTGCCGCCTCGCCCGCTCCACCATCTTCAAGGAGATGCTCGAACTCACCTGCATCGAGTTCTGGCGATATTCGAACATCACCTGCAGTGCTTACCCTCTCAACGCCCTGGACACCATCAGGCCCAGCGGGGAAACAAGTGAGTGGGAAGATATTAATATGTTTGGTGGGGAGATAATTGAGTGATAATCATTCTGGTTGGGGGTGGTTAATAATGTTAGCCAGTGATCGAAACATGGATGGAGCGATTAGCAAGGGTTTGGATGGCTGGTGCGTGTTGAAAAGATTAATGATTGGTGGCGCTATTAGTGAGACTGCTGTAAGATCTTAGTGGTAGATATATTACCGAGTCTGATGATTAGTAAGTGGTGGGGCAGAGAGAAGCGAGTTTAGTGGAAACATTAATGAGTTTAGTGGCGAGATTCTTGAGTTACACTGTGAGACGAGTGAGTCAGAGATATGTGTGTGTTTGCTTGCGTGATTAACGGGGGTAAAGGAAGAGAATGGTTTTAGTGGAGAAATTAACTAATTTCTCTTCCGAAATTAGAGAATTTGGTGGATTTTCTGGTGGTAAAGTTAAAAAGTTTAATGGCTAAGAGTTTAGTGGGCCTCCAGTGACTTTTTCTTAATTCGGTTGAGAATCTTCTTTTATGGGTTTAATGGTAAAGACAGAACCAGCATTTATTGGAACGATAAAAGCTGGTTCTGCAACCTCTGTCTTCTCCTCAAATAAAAATAACCATCTTCAGCTCTGTTGACAGTATTTACTGCGTTACTGTTATGCTTTTTCCAGTTGCCTCTTTTGACTCTATCGTTTGAGAGTGTTTTCGTCCTTCCCTTTATTCCCATTAATTATTTGTATGGCACCCATCCATCCAGGAACCTGTTGCCTCCGTTAAATATGTTTTTTTTTTAGTGTTTTTCTGTTCTGTTACTCGTGTTGAGTGTACGTACTCCTGCAGACTGGAACTCTGCACTCATGATTATCCTCAACGGCACGAAGAGTGAACATTTGGATATGCTGGAAGGTGGGATCATCCAGCGACTTCTTGAAGAAAAGTGGAAGACATTCGCCCGGGTGAGTAGTTGATCAGCAGTGGTAGTGGTGGTTGTGGTTGTATTGGTGGGAGTAGTGGTTGTTGGCTGGTTAATAGTTAATGGGGGATTTAAGCCTATCGACTACAAGAGAGTCATTAAAGTTGTACATAACCTGTTAACACTCAGCAAGAATACTTTAATCCTAAAATAGGAATTAAGGTAACCTTTTAGTAGATGTGCACCAAGAGACATACACCTCACGGTGTATACATCCTGTGTGGTGGTGCAATGTGTTTTGGTCATCAGTACTGTAAACACTCTCACGCGTTGTTCCAGGCATCAAGAGTAGGGTTGGCCGCAATGATGCTGGAGAACCTACTCAAACGATGTTGTCTTGAAAGTACCATAGTTGCAACCACCAACACTGTCTGCAACAACACTGTTACCTTCATTGTTTCACAAGTTTTGTTTAAATTCATTGTACCTCAATTAACTTAGGTAGATAGTAACTCCAGTTATGCTCCATGGAAGGGAACCTTTGTGGCTGCCGTAGCTGATAAACCTTTGCTGGAATACTTGGCGATATTCCTTCCATTGCCCTACTGAAGTCTTCCAGCTCAGGTTGACACATTTCAGCACTATGTATTAGCACCATCCTGAGTATGGTGGTTTATCCAAATTTGTTAAAAAAAAAAAACATGGGTAGATACAACGAATTTATTGATGAGGATTAATAAAAGTTAAGGGATGATTTTATTGAAAATTTATTAAATATTTGAGCTGGGTTTATAAAATAATGAACTTTATTAATGGATGGGGAGTTTTACGTAGATATCTTTGAGTACTATATAAAACACTACTTATATAAGGGGCAAATCCAGAGGTACATAGAAAACGACACGCACATATTAATATGTACTAAATTCCTCAGTCTATCGACTGAGGAACACATTCTCAAGTGGTCTTGGGTAGTCCACACCTTCCTGAACGGTCATCTTAATCGATGGCCCTTTACTCCAACAATTACACAGTGTTTCACACTCCCAGGCCTTGTTAGGTCACATCGTGTATACCCACAATCATACATATATGATACTTCAGAGTTATGTATACCAACAATCATACTCTTAAGGGCCCTGTATACACACACCACACACACACACCAGGAGCTGTGTCTCGACCCCTGCAACCACAAATAGGTGAGTACACAATGTTTCACGTTCCCAGGGCCCTGTATACAAGTCGTCACACTCCCATCAAACGGAGCACATTTCCTGAAGCACACATCAACCAAATAACTGCTGCAGCATAGAGGCGCCTGGCAAACCTGAGAATAACGTGTCGATATCTAAGTAAGAGTCATTCACGACACTGTACACCGTGTACGTCAGGCCCATATTGGAGTATGGAGCACTAGTATGGAACCCACACCTGGTCAAGCACGTCAGGAAATTAGAGAAAGTGCAAAGGTTTGCAATAAGACTAGTCCCTGAGCTGAGGGGTTTGCCCTACGGGAAAGGTTTAGAGAACTTAACCCTACAACACTGGGACCCAAGAGAGATAGGGAAGAAATGATAAGAACGTATAAAATACTTAGAGGAAATGACAGTGCGGATAAGGACAGAATGTTTCAGAAATGTCTCACAACAACAAGGGGTCACAATTGGAAACTGAAAACTCAGATTAGTCACAGAGATGTTACGAAGTATTTTTTTAGTCATAGAGTTGTCAGGAAGTGGAACAATCTGGACAGTGATGTAGTGGAGGCAGGATCCATACACAGCTTTAAGAGATATGATGAAGCTCATGGAGCAGGGAAAGAGTGGACCTAGTAGCGACCAGTGAAGAGGCGGGGCCAGGAGCTATGACTTGACCCCTGCAACCACAATTAGATGAGTAGGTGAGTACTCTCAGGGGACCCTACATTTCAACACACACACACACACACAGGAAGTGGAATAGTTTGGGAAGCGATGTAGTGGAGGCAGGATCCATACACAGCTTTAAGTAGAGGTATGATAAAGCTCATGGTTCAGGGAGTGACCCAGTAGCGACCAGTGAAGAGGCGGGGCCAGGAGCTATGAATCGACCCCTGCAACCACAGCTAGGCGAATACAACTAGGCGAGCACACACACACACACACACACACACACACACACACAACACACACGCACAGACACACACACACACACACACACACCACACACACACACACACACACACACGCACCACGCACACACACACACACACACGCACACACACACACACACACACACACACACACACACACACACGCACACACACACACACACACACACACACACACACACACGCCACACACACACACACACACACACACACACACACACGCACACACACACACACACACACACACACACACACACACACACACACACACACACACACACACACACACACACACAACACACACACACACGCACACACACACACACACACACACACACACACACACACACGCAAAATCATGGAGAAGATTATCAGGAGAAGAGTGGTGGAACAACTAGAAAGGAATGATCTCATCAACAGCAGCCAACATGGTTTCAGGGACGGGAAATCCTGTGTCACAAACCTACTGGAGTTCTATGACATGGTGACAGCAGTAAGACAAGAGAGAGAGGGGTGGGTGGGATTGCATTTTCTTGGACTGCAAGAAGGCGTTTGACACAGTTCCACACAAGAGATTGGTGCAAAAACTGGAGGACCAAGCAGGGATAACAGGGAAGGCACTACAATGGATCAGGGAATACTTGTCAGGAAGACAGCAGCGAGTCATGGTACGTGGCGAGGTGTCAGAGTGGGCACCTGTGACCAGCGGGGTCCCGCAGGGGTCAATCCTAGGACCAGTGCTGTTTCTGGTATTTGTGAACGACATGACGGAAGGAAATTTAGACTCTGAGGTGTCCCTGTTTGCAGATGACGTGAAGTTGATGAGAAGAATACACTCGATCGAAGACCAGGCAGAACTTCAAAGGGATCTGGACAGGCTGCAGACCTGGTCCAGCAATTGGCTCCTGGAGTTCAATCCCACCAAGTGCAAAGTCATGAAGATTGGGGAAGGGCAAAGAAGGCCGCAGACGGAGTACAGTCTAGGCGGTCAGAGACTACAAACCTCACTCAAGGAAAAAGATCTTGGGGTGAGTATAACACCAGGCACATCTCCTGAAGCGCACATCAACCAAATAACTGCTGCAGCATATGGGCGCCTAGAAAACCCTCAGAACAGCATTCCGACATCTTAATAAGGAATCGTTCAGGACCCTGTACACCGTATACGTTAGGCCCATATTGGAGTATGCGGCACCAGTTTGGAACCCACACCTAGCCAAGCACGTAAAGAAACTAGAGAAAGTGCAAAGGTTTGCAACAAGACTAGTCCCAGAGCTAAGAGGTATGTCCTACGAGGAGAGGTTAAGGGAAATCAACCTGACGACACTGGAGGACAGGAGAGATAGGGGGGACATGGTAACGACATACAAAATACTGAGGGGAATTGACAAGGTGGACAAAGACAGGATGTTCCAGAGATTGGACACAGTAACAAGGGGACACAGTTGGAAGCTGAAGACACAGATGAATCACAGGGATGTTAGGAAGTATTTCTTCAGCCACAGAGTAGTCAGTAAGTGGAATAGTTTGGGAAGCGATGTAGTGGAGGCAGAATCCATACATAGCTTTAAGCAGAGGTATGATAAAGCTCACGGCTCGGGGAGAGTGACCTAGTAGCGATCAGTGAAGAGGCGGGGCCAGGAGCTCGGACTCGACCCCCGCAACCTCAACTAGGTGAGTACAACTAGGTGAGTACACACACACACACACACACACACACACAACACACACACACACACACCTATTCCCTCATTCTGTTCCATCATTTACTACATCTTCATCGGGTTCACTCCGTGTCAAAGAATTTCTTCCAAATTCCCCCTTATGGCTGGCACATTGAAGAGTTTCTTAAACTGTAGCTAAATGTATATTTTTAAAACCACAAGAGCAACTATTGAGACATTTATTGCAGGTGTTTGTTATTGTGACGGTGTTTCATTGTCCCAGTAACATCATGATCTGCAGCTTGTGTTGGCATCTTCATGTTCGTCGGTAATACGCCATTACAACCAGGAAATTATTCCTCTGGCCACCTAATTGCTTAATTTCTACACTGGGAATGTCCTCGCAGATCTTTCGTGGACTTTTGTGAATTGTTTCTCATTGCTTAAAATTCCCTATTCAGTAGGTGTTCAGAGTTTTTCCATTGCCTTCTTCGACCCACAATTTCTTCTGATCCCCACAGTAGCTCCTCTCCCCCACAGTAACCCACAGTTTTTCCCTCTGCTCCCCCAGAATCAGTTCATGAAACGACTGGCTATCATGTTACTGCAACTCATCCTGCTGAGTGTGGCTGTGTACCTCCGTCCATGTTACTGCGGACCCAAGAACATGAGAAGGGTCAGTACATCTCTCTCTCTCTCTCTCTCTCTCTCTCTCTTTCATGTATTAACATAATTAATAAATCATTCATTAGCAACAGTAAACAGATCATATCGTTGTTTAATACCAGAGAGACTGAAGGGAAAATATCTTGATTGAACTTTAAAATGTTTGGAAATGTTTCAGAGAAACGATTTAGATGAACATTTTGTTGAACCCGCGAATTCTCGAACTGTCCACGTTCTCCTCGCCTGGCCCCAAAACATGTTTTTGCTTAGCTTCAAAACGCTATATTCTTGTCTTGTCTTGGAACACTGTGTTTTGCTCGTCCTCAGAACACGCCGGAGTCCAAGAAGATGCTTTATGACGAGTTCTTCGACACGGACTTCAAGAGCATCGTCAGGTACTGCTTCGAATCGGGCACACTGGCTGGGGTGATCTCCTATGTGGTGTTCCAGCAAGGCGAAGAGATCATGAACCAGGGCCTCTCCTCCTTCATGCGTGGCTTGGTGAGTAGGTACTGGGGTTTGGTGAGTAGGTAGCGTGGCTTAGTGAGTGGGCTTGTTGGATAATACCAGGGCTTAAAAAAATATGACCGGTATTTAGGTCTCTCAACACATGATAGGTACCCGTGCAGGAAATATACAACAGAATCCTAGTCCTCTAATAGATGGTATGTACCTAGGTCTCCCAATTAATTAGAAAACTCCTTCAGAATGAAATACTCTACTCATAGCACTAAACCCACGCGAGATATCTTAGATAAAAGAAGAATCTGAGTCTTGAATCTTCACTAACTGGAAGGAACATCAAGCCTCAGTCCATTTAGACTGCTGAATGACGCGAGAAATGCATTTCTTGCGTTAGGCCGGCAACGCTCCCAAGGCTATCTTCATGGTGGCCAACCTGCTGATCATGCTGGTGGTGCCCTGCCGCGTTGTTTACTTCTTCAAGCCGGAGATGGTGGTACTCAGGGCCCTGGAGGACGAACTCCTCTCCTACGCTGTGGCTGGGTCCTGGTTCATGCTGATGTTCTTCGCTGGGTGAGTTGTGTGTCGATTGAGCTGTTCCTGACGGGTGAATGTTCTTGTGGGAAGAGTGTTTCTGATAGATGAATGTTCGTGTTGGAAGAGTGTTCCTGATGGATGAATGTTCGTGTTGGAAGAGTGTTCCTGATGAATGAATGTTCGTGTTGGAAGAGTGTTCCTGATGGATGAATATTCTTGTTGGAAGTCTTCCTGATGGATGAATGTTCTTGTTGGAAGAGTGTTCCTGATAGATGAATGTTCTTGTTGGAAGAGTGTTCCTGATGGATGAATGTTCGTGTTGGAAGAGTGTTCCTGATGGATGAATGTTCGTGTTGGAAGAGTGTTCCTGATGGATGAATGTTCTTGTTGGAAGAGTGTTCCTGATGGATGAATGTTCTTGTTGGAAGAGTGTTCCTGATGGATGAATGTTCTTGTTGGAAGTGTTCCTGATGGATGAATGTTCGTGTTGGAAGAGTGTTCCTGATGGATGAATGTTCTTGTTGGAAGAGTGTTCCTGATGGATGAATGTTCGTGTTGGAAGTGTTCCTGATGGATGAATGTTCTTGTTGGAAGAGTGTTCCTGATGGATGAATGTTCGTGTTGGAAGAGTGTTCCTGATGGATGAATGTTCGTGCTGGAAGAGTGTTCCTGATGGATGAATGTTCGTGTTGGAAGAGTGTTCCTGATGGATGAATGTTCTTGTTGGAAGAGTGTTCCTGATGGATGAATGTTCGTGTTGGAAGAGTGTTCCTGATGGATGAATGTTCGTGTTGGAAGAGTGTTCCTGATGGATGAATGTTCGTGTTGGAAGAGTGTCCTGATGGATGAATGTTCGTGTTGGAAGAGTGTTCCTGATGAATGAATGTTCGTGTTGGAAGAGTGTTCCTGATGGATGAATATTCTTGTTGGAAGTCTTCCTGATGGATGAATGTTCTTGTTGGAAGAGTGTTCCTGATAGATGAATGTTCTTGTTGGAAGAGTGTTCCTGATGGATGAATGTTCGTGTTGGAAGAGTGTTCCTGATGGATGAATGTTCGTGTTGGAAGAGTGTTCCTGATGGATGAATGTTCTTGTTGGAAGAGTGTTCCTGATGGATAAATGTTCTTGTTGGAAGAGTGTTCCTGATGTATGAATGTTCTTGTTGGAAGTGTTCCTGATGGATGAATGTTCTTCTTGGAAGAGTGTTCCTGATGGATGAATGTTCTTGTTGGAAGAGTGTTCCTGATGGATGAATGTTCGTGTTGGAAGAGTGTTCCTGATGGATGAATGTTCTTGTTGGAAGAGTGTTCCTGATGGATGAATGTTCGTGTTGGAAGAGTGTTCCTGATGGATGAATGTTCTTGTTGGATGAGTGTTCCTGATGGATGAATGTTCTTGTTGGAAGATTGTTCATGATGGATGAATGTTCTTGTTGGAAGAGTGTTCCTGATGGATGAATGTTCGTGTTGGAAGAGTGTTCCTGATGGATGAATGTTCGTGTTGGAAGAGTGTTCCTGATGGATGAATGTTCTTGCTGGAAGTGTTCCTGATGGATGAATGTTCTTGTTGGAAGAGTGTTCCTGATGGATGAATGTTCTTGTTGGAAGAGTGTTCCTGATGGATGAATGTTCGTGTTGGAAGTGTTCCTGATGGATGAATGTTCTTGTTGGAAGAGTGTTCTGATGGATGAATGTTCGTGTTGGAAGAGTGTTCCTGATGGATGAATGTTCGTGTTGGAAGAGTGTTCCTGATGGATGAATGTTCGTGTTGGAAGAGTGTTCCTGATGGATGAATGTTCGTGTTGGAAGAGTGTTCCTGATGGATGAATGTTCGTGTTGGAAGAGTGTTCCTGATGGATGAATGTTCTTGTTGGAAGTGTGTTCCTGAAGGATGAATGTTCGTGTTGGAAGTGTTCCTGATGGATGAATGTTCTTGTTGGAAGAGTGTTCCTGATGAATGAATGTTCGTGTTGGAAGAGTGTTCCTGACGGATGAATGTTCGTGTTGGAAGAGTGTTCCTGATGGATGAATATTCGTGTTGGAATAGTGTTCCTGATGGATGAATGTTCTTGTTGGAAGAGTGTTCCTGATGGATAAATATTCTTGTTGGAAGAGTGTTCCTGATGGATGAATGTTCGTGTTGGAAGAGTGTTCCTGATGGATGAATGTTCTTGTTGGAAGAGTGTTCCTGATGGATGAATGTTCGTGTTGGAAGAGTGTTCCTGATGGATGAATGTTCGTGTTGGAAGAGTGTTCCTGATGGATGAATTTTTCTTGTTGGAAGATTGTTCCTGATGGATGAATGTTCTTGTTGGAAGAGTGTTCCTGATGGATGAATGTTCGTGTTGGAAGAGTGTTCCTGATGGATGAATGTTCGTGTTGGAAGAGTGTTCCTGATGGATGAATGTTCTTGCTGGAAGTGTTCCTGATGGATGAATGTTCTTGTTGGAAGAGTGTTCCTGATGGATGAATGTTCTTGTTGGAAGAGTGTTCCTGATGGATGAATGTTCGTGTTGGAAGTGTTCCTGATGGATGAATGTTCTTGTTGGAAGAGTGTTCCTGATGGATGAATGTTCGTGTTGGAAGAGTGTTCCTGATGGATGAATGTTCTTGTTGGAAGAGTGTTTCTGATGGATGAATGTTCGTGTTGGAAGAGTGTTCCTGATGGATGAATGTTCGTGTTGGAAGAGTGTTCCTGATGGATGAATGTTCGTGTTGGAAGAGTGTTCCTGATGGATGAATGTTCGTGTTGGAAGAGTGTTCCTGATGGATGAATGTTCTTGTTGGAAGAGTGTTCCTGATGGATGAATGTTCGTGTTGGAAGAGTGTTCCTGATGGATGAATGTTCTTGTTGGAAGAGTGTTCCTGATGGATGAATGTTCGTGTTGGAAGAGTGTTTCTGATGGATGAATGTTCGTGTTGGAAGAGTGTTCCTGATGGATGAATGTTCTTGTTGGAAGTGTTCCTGATGGATGAATGTTCGTGTTGGAAGAGTGTTCCTGATGGATGAATGTTCTTGTTGGAAGAGTGTTCCTGATGGATGAATGTTCGTGTTGGAAGAGTGTTCCTGATGGATGAATGTTCGTGTTGGAAGAGTGTTCCTGATGGATGAATGTTCGTGTTGGAAGAGTGTTCCTGATGCATGAATGTTCTTGTTGGAAGAGTGTTCCTGATGGATGAATGTTCTTGTTGTAAGTGTTCCTGATGGATGAATGTTCGTGTTGGAAGAGTGTTCCTGATGGATGAATGTTTCTTGTTGGAAGAGTGTTCCTGATGGATGAATGTTCGTGTTGGAAGAGTGTTCCTGATGGATGAATGTTCGTGTTGGAAGAGTGTTCCTGATGGATGAATGTTCTTGTTGGAAGAGTGTTCCTGATGGATGAATGTTCGTGTTGGAAGAGTGTTCCTGATGGATGAATATTCGTGTTGGAAGAGTGTTCCTGATGGATGAATGTTCGTGTTGGAAGAGTGTTCCTGATGGATGAATGTTCTTGTTGGAAGTGTTCCTGATGGATGAATGTTCGTGTTGGAAGAGTGTTTCTGATGGATGAATGTTCGTGTTGGAAGAGTGTTCCTGATGGATGAATGTTCTTGTTGGAAGAGTGTTCCTGATGGATGAATGTTCGTGTTGGAAGTGTTCCTGATGGATGAATGTTCTTGTTGGAAGAGTGTTCCTGATGTATGAATGTTCGTGTTGGAAGAGTGTTCCTGATGGATGAATGTTCGTGTTGGAAGTGTTCCTGATGGATGAATGTTCTTGTTGGAAGAGTGTTCCTGATGGATGAATGTTCTTGTTGGAAGAGTGTTCCTGATGGATGAATGTTCGTGTTGGAAGAGTGTTCCTGATGGATGAATGTTCGTGTTGGAAGAGTGTTCCTGATGGATGAATGTTCGTGTTGGAAGAGTGTTCCTGATGGATGAATGTTCTTGTTGGAAGAGTGTTCCTGATGGATGAATGTTCGTGTTGGAAGAGTGTTTCTGATGGATGAATGTTCGTGTTGGAAGAGTGTTCCTGATGGATGAATGTTCTTGTTGGAAGAGTGTTTCCTGATGGATGAATGTTCGTGTTGGAAGTGTTCCTGATGGATGAATGTTCTTGTTGGAAGAGTGTTCCTGATGTATGAATGTTCGTGTTGGAAGAGTGTTCCTGATGGATGAATGTTCGTGTTGGAAGTGTTCCTGATGGATGAATGTTCTTGTTGGAAGAGTGTTCCTGATGGATGAATGTTCGTGTTGGAAGAGTGTTCCTGATGGATGAATGTTCGTGTTGGAAGAATGTTCCTGATGGATGAATGTTCGTGTTGGAAGAGTGTTCCTGATGGATGAATGTTCGTGTTGGAAGAGTGTTCCTGATGGATGAATGTTCGTGTTGGAAGAGTGTTCCTGATGGATGAATGTTCTTGTTGGAAGTGTGTTCCTGATGGATGAATGTTCGTGTTGGAAGTGTTCCTGATGGATGAATGTTCTTGTTGGAAGAGTGTTCCTGATGGATGAATGTTCTTGTTGGAAGAGTGTTCCTGATGGATGAATATTCATGTTGGAAGTGTTCCTGATGGATGAATGTTCGTGTTGGAAGAGTGTTCCTGATGGATGAATGTTCATGTTGGAAGAGTGTTCCTGATGGATGAATGTTCGTGTTGGAAGAGTGTTCCTGATGGATGAATGATCGTGTTGGAAGAGTGTTCCTGATGGATGAATGTTCGTGTTGGAAGAGTGTTCCTGATGGATGAATGTTCTTGTTGGAAGTGTTCCTGATGGATGAATGTTCTTGTTGGAAGAGTGTTCCTGATGGATGAATGTTCTTGATGGAAGAGTGTTCCTGATGGATGAATGTTCTTGTTGGAAGAGTGTTCCTGATGGATGAATGTTCGTGTTGGAAGAGTGTTCCTGATGGATGAATGTTCTTGTTGGAAGAGTGTTCCTGATGGATGAATGTTCTTGTTGGAAGAGTGTTCCTGATGGATGAATGTTCGTGTTGGAAGAGTGTTCCTGATGGATGAATGTTCGTGTTGGAAGAATGTTCCTGATGGATGAATGTTCGTGTTGGAAGAGTGTTCCTGATGGATGAATGTTCTTGTTGGAAGAGTGTTCCTGATGGATGAATGTTCTTGTTGGAAGAGTGTTCATGATGGATGAATGTTCGTGTTGGAAGAGTGTTCCTGATGGATGAATGTTCGTGTTGGAAGAGTGTTCCTGATGGATGAATGTTCGTGTTGGAAGAGGTTCCTGGTGGATGAATTGTTCTTGTTGGAAGAGTGTTCCTGATGGATGAATGTTCGTGTTGGAAGAGTGTTCCTGATGGATGAATGTTCTTGTTTGAAGAGTGTTCCTGATGGATGAATGTTCTTGTTGGAAGAGTGTTCCTGATGGATGAATGTTCGTGTTGGAAGTGTTCCTGATGGATGAATGTTCTTGTTGGAAGAGTGTTCCTGATGGATGAATGTTCGTGTTGGAAGAGTGTTCCTGATGGATGAATGTTCTTGTTGGAAGAGTGTTCCTGATGGATTAATGTTCTTGTTGGAAGAGTGTTCCTGATGGATGAATGTTCGTGTTGGAAGAGTGTTCCTGATGGATGAATGTTCTTGTTGGAAGAGTGTTCCTGATGGATGAATGTTCGTGTTGGAAGAGTGTTCCTGATGGATGAATGTTCTTGTTGGAAGAGTGTTCCTGATGGATGAATGTTCTTGTTGGAAGTGTTCCTGATGGATGAATGTTCTTGTTGGAAGAGTGTTCCTGATGGATGAATGTTCTTGTTGGAAGAGTGTTCCTGATGGATGAATGTTCGTGTTGGAAAAGTGTTTCTGATGGATGAATGTTCTTGTTGGAAGTGTTCCTGATGGATGAATGTTCTTGTTGGAAGAGTGTTCCTGATGGATGAATGTTCTTGTTGGAAGAGTGTTCCTGATGGATGAATGTTCGTGTTGGAAGAGTGTTCCTGATGGATGAATGTTCTTGTTGGAAGAGTGTTCCTGATGGATGAATGTTCTTGTTGGAAGAGTGTTCCTGATGGATGAATGTTCGTGTTGGAAGTGTTCCTGATGGATGAATGTTCTTGTTGGAAGAATGGTCCTGATGGATGAATGTTCGTGTTGGAAGAGTGTTCCTGATGGATGAATGTTCTTGTTGGAAGAGTGTTCCTGATGGATGAATGTTCTTGTTGGAAGTGTTCCTGATGGATGAATGTTCGTGTTGGAAGTGTTCCTGATGGATGAATGTTCTTGTTGGAAGTGTTCCTGATGGATGAATGTTCGTGGTGGAAGAGTGTTGCTGATGGATGAATGTTCTTGTTGGAAGAGTGTTCCTGATGGATGAATGTTCTTGTTGGAAGTGTGTTCCTGATGGATGAATGTTCTTGTTGGAAGTGTTCCTGATGGATGAATGTTCTTGTTGGAAGAGTGTTTCTGATGGATGAATGTTCTTGTTGGAAGAGTGTTCCTGATGGATGATGTTCTTGTTGGAAGAGTGTTCCTGATGGATGAATGTTCGTGTTGGAAGAGTGTTCCTGATGGATGAATGTTCTTGTTGGAAGAGTGTTCCTGATGGATGAATGTTCTTGTTGGAAGAGTGTTCCTGATGGATGAATGTTCTTGTTGGAAGAGTGTTCCTGATGGATGAATGTTCGTGTTGGAAGAGTGTTCCTGATGGATGAATGTTCTTGTTGGAAGAGTGTTCCTGATGGATGAATGTTCTTGTTGGAAGAGTGTTCCTGATGGATTAATGTTCGTGTTGGAAGTGTTCCTGATGGATGAATGTTCTTGTTGGAAGAGTGTTCCTGATGGATGAATGTTCTTGTTGGAAGTGTTCCTGATGGATGAATGTTCTTGTTGGAAGAGTGTTCCTGATGGATGAATTTTCGTGTTGGAAGAGTGTTCCTGATGGATGAATGTTCTTGTTGGAAGTATTCCTGATGGATGAATGTTCTTGTTGGAAGAGTGTTCCTGATGGATGAATGTTCTTGTTGGAAGTGTTCCTGATGGATGAATGTTCTTGTTGGAAGAGTGTTCCTGATGGATGAATTTTCGTGTTGGAAGAGTGTTCCTGATGGATGAATGTTCTTGTTTCCTTACACCTGTTGTCCTGTTCACCTAGCAGCAAATAGGTACCTGGGTGTTAGTCGACTGGTGTGGGTCGCATCCTGGGGGACAAGAATAAGGACCCCAATGGAAATAAGTTAGACAGTCCTCGATGACGCACTGACTTTCTTGGGTTATCCTGGGTGGCTAACCCTCCGGGGTTAAAAATCCGAACGAAATCTTATCTTAACTCCTCCTTCATCTGCCTCCCGCAGCGCCCTGAAGCTGACAGGACCGTTCGTGGTGATGATTTACAAAATGATAACGGGTGACATGTTTACCTTCTCCATCATCTACTTCATCATGTTACTCGGCTTCTCCGAGGCTTTCTTCTTCCTCTACAAGAGCCCCAAGCAAGACAGTGGCAGCAAGTACGCCACTTACGGCACTACCTGGATGGCACTCTTCCACATGACTCTTGGCGATTATGACGTGAGTGCCTCTCCTCCTCTTCTCTTCCTTCTTTCTCTTCTTTTACCATTACTCTTCTACACCTCACCTTTCCTTGTTCCACTACACTACTCTCTACATCCTTTCTTTTCCGTCTTTTCCTCAGCTCAAACTGAGATTTTTACCTTATTTTCCGACAGCACAAATCAGAATTCTAATCCACTTTCGCTCAGCCCAGTTTAGGATTTTGTTAGATTTATTTTTCAGTCTTAAACTACGATAATATGTGACCACAGAGCCATATTTTCCATCTTTATTTCCTCTGGTATCAAGAAGCACCATCAAGCCACCGTCATGAAGCAACATCAAGCCACCGTCATGAAGCAACATCAAGCCACCGTCACGAATCACCATCAAGCCACCGTCACGAATCACCATCAAGCCACCGTCACGAATCACCATCAAGCCACCGTCACGAAGCACCATCAAGCCACCGTCACGAAGCACCATCAAGCCACCGTCATGAAGCACCATCAAGCCACCGTCATGAAGCAACATCAAGCCACCGTCATGAAGCAACATCAAGCCACCGTCATGAAGCACCATCAAGCCACCGTCATGAAGCACCATCAAGCCACCGTCACGAAGCACCATCAAGCCACCGTCACGAAGCACCATCAAGCCACCGTCACGAAGCACCATCAAGCCACCGTCACGAAGCACCATCAAGCCACCGTCACGAAGCACCATCAAGCCACCGTCACGAAGCACCATCAAGCCACCGTCACGAAGCACCATCAAGCCACCGTCATGAAGCACCATCAAGCCACCGTCATGAAGCAACATCAAGCCACCGTCGTGAAGCAACATCAAGCCACCGTCATGAAGCACCATCAAGCCACCGTCACGAAGCACCATCAAGCCACCGTCATGAAGCACCATCAAGCCACCGTCACGAAGCACCATCAAGCCACCGTCATGAAGCAACATCAAGCCACCGTCATGAAGCACCATCAAGCCACCGTCACGAAGCACCATCAAGCCACCGTCACGAAGCACCATCAAGCCACCGTCACGAAGCACCATCAAGCCACCGTCATGAAGCACCATCAAGCCACCGTCACGAAGCACCATCAAGCCACCGTCACGAAG